TTCCAGCTTCCCTCCACCCCCTGGAAATTGGATATAGTGATACACCGCCATCTCACAGGGCTGGGGGGTGCAATTTAATTAATGTTTATAAAGCACTCTGAGGTCTTCGAACGAGAACTGCTGTGTAAGTGCAAAATTATTATTAGTTCTCAGCCCCCTGTCCCTTGACTTCTGACACGAGTTTTTGTTGTTCCTGGATGGGAGCCGTTTATGGGCTGTCCAGCTGGTTCTTTCGGGTACAGAGGCAAGTGCATACACATTTGCAGATTTTTTTCCCCTTTGAAAAAAGCATTCCAGCTCCATGGGATGTCTTGAAGCTTTTCAATGCCTGAATTTCTTCCTACTTGTCTCTCCTAAGTACGGTAATCTCCAGGGGGAGATTGTCAACAGGCTACTTTGCAAAGGCGCGAGGGGGGAAAATGGTCAATTTGAAGAAATAGCCCCTCTTATAATGAAGAATAAAACAGTATCTCCTCCTCATGCAGAATCTAAATGAATTGCTAAGTGAGGGCTGCCTCGCTTGCCCAGAGGGATTCTGTACATGTTTACGCATTGAAAGGAGAAAAGAAGAGGAGATTTGCTTTCTGTGCCCGAGCTTCGCCTCCTTCCTTCACCCTAACTTCTCAGGCACCAGGGAAAATAAATACACCCCACCCGGATGATGCTTTCCTGCTAGTCTTTGTTGCCTAACTGTACGCTCACCTGGGATCCCATGGGGGGAATGAAATCAAGAAGTGGGAAAGGAAAAAGATACGTCTGCAAGTGAAATGCCTTGTCTCTGAAGGACAGGATGGGGCTCATGAGTATTTCATCAAGCTCTGGGGCAGCAAACGTGTCATAAGGCACCGTTTTCCTTCTCTCTAAAATGTATTCATGCTCATCCCCCGATTCCCACACACAAGCCATTAGGATCCCTTCAAGGTATCTTTTGGTTTAACTTAACGCTTGGTTAGCAGGGTCTGTTAGTCAACTGCTGGAAGGTTTTATTTTTAAAAATCGCTAAGGAGCGATTATGTAACATGTAGTCCGTTGGACAGAAGTATAAAGGCACGGAACCAACGAAAGAAGCAAACGTTTGCTATGTCACTGTGAACACAGAAAAAATAAACCAAAAGAGCACCGATGATGCATTCTGTGTTTCCTAAGTCTGCCAATCACTGATCAAATATGATATCAAATTATCTAAGGGGAAAACCAGGAATATTCTGCTGGGACAGGAAAGTTGAGGCAGGACTAAGAGTAAGGAGGGGTAAAATCAGCTTTAACCATGCAAAGTCTATGAATGCAGGAGCATCAGAGCCTGCCAGCTGTCGTGACGGCTGTGAAACACAGGGACCTTCCTGTCATCCAAGATGATTGAGTTCTGCCATTAGTTAGCGGTCAGGATGGAAGGGGCGGTTTCTTTCTTTCCATCCCATTACTTAAAAAGAGGACAGAAGAACTAAGTAAATAAAATTGGATAGATGAAGATCATCATTCTAAGTGCAGTGGGCCAGAAAGAGAAAGGAAAATGCCACATACCACTTATACGTGGAATCAAAAAATAACAACAAAAATGATAAGGACACAAATGAACTTATTATTTACAACTTAGATGACTGATCTCTTAAATATATGTGTGAGCATATCTGACTGTCCTTTATGATTGGATTACCGCATTCTGTTGATTCTTATTTTGTGGTTGGCTTTATTCCTTTGATAACTATGGAAGTTTAAAAAGCTAAAGCTCTAATCTGTTCTTAGAAACAATGATTAGTACATATATATAAACTAAAAAAAAAGTGCAGTATACTGTACATATGTATTTACATGCAATATAATGTGTATGTGCAGTCAAACTGTAATGACTCTACTTTATAAAACTGAAAAGGAAAAAAAATAGATAAAGAAATAGATAGATATATAGAGAGAGATCAGTTAGGATCGTAAGAAAACCCACGACTGAAAACTGAGAGGACAACATATAGGAACCAGCTTGTTTCCAGCCCTCCTTTCCCTTCTACTGATGCTCTGCTTCTTTGGGCTTCCATCAGCCTCCAAGATGGTCTTCCTGCTTCCATCTCCTCCAGCTCTTTTATTTCATCCTTCACTTTGTTTCCTGGTTATTGTCCCAGAAATAGATCTACTCACACAGCTTCTGAGCTCAGAATCCGTCCATGCCGCCCCATTGTGCACATTCTCTGCAGTAACTTGTCTGTCTTCCATTATTGCCTCCTGCCTCCTTGGCCTGCACTGTGGGTGCCCTGCGCCCACAAACACTCTCATACAATCCTCTGTTCAAGGATTCTCTCTCCCTTTTAGCATTAGAGACGAGCCTCTGGCATTCCCACCTCCCCTGGCCATTACTACCACTCAAAATTCTGCTTATCTTTCAAGTCCAAGTTCAAAAGGAATTAGCTCTATAAATCCTTCTAAGGTGCTCCCAGGTGAACTTGGATACTCCCAGTCTGTTTTCTGTGTTCCCACTATG